TCTCCCTATATCTGATCTCTCTCTAGTCGTATAGGATTTCCACGTACGTGACCGAAATTAAGTCAGGATCTAGGACATTATTACTACTCATAAATTAACAGTAATCAAAAAATCAAATAAAATTCGTCAGGTGTTCATGGACAATATTGCATTGCATGTGCATCTCTGTCTGTAATTTTTAGCGCACTTGTAGTTAAAGTTTCTCACAATTGATGAAAAACTTCCGCATTTGCGCATCGAGGTTTCGAGTAAGTTTCGCCATTACTTCTTTACTTAATTACTTAATTACTACTACTAACTTAATTACTTTTTTTATGAGCAAAAGGATTGCACACATTATCACGTATCATTTACATGTTAGAGCCGCCACGCTGCAGCTATATTATGGTTGCAGCACGAATGGGTCGGCTCGACCGGGGAAGGACCACGCTCTCACAGAAAACCAGCGTAAAATAGCAGCTCAATGCTGCTGTGTTTCTTATGTTGAGTGTAGAGATCCGGAGACCATTTTTACTGAAAACGAGACTTTCCATCTTAGTCGTCAGGTGTAGGAACGCATTTTGATTTTTAATCAATCACAGCATCGATTTACCATTAGGCAGACTGTGTGCTCGTTTGTCCGCCTTATACTATAAATAAAAATGAAGCAATATCGTATGACACCCCCAGGGATCGGACAGGGTGATACATAACACTTTATAGAAAAATTCTATCTCTACCTCTATTATCGCTTTCCAAGTCTACCAATACGAAGACGGAGAGCAGTGCTTTCCCCAGCTGAGTCTGCTTCTCGATGTCGCCGTCACGGTGACCAATAGTCCAGCTGTACAGGATGTCATCCACGCACCGGTCCAGGATCGGGCACTGCCATACGTGGCAGATCCTGACAATTACATAGTACATACATTATTTCTCTTTTAACGTATACCCTAGGACTTTCTCTTGTATCGTGGAGGAAGTTTACATACATAAATTCCACATGGACAGAACATACAGACCCGGAACAATTATTTGTAGGCCATAGAAATACCAAAGTGTCACCGGTTCTCTACACTCACCATACGAACACAGCAGAATTAAGCTGCTATTTCACGCTGGTATTCTGTGAGAGCGTGGTTTTACCCCGGTTGAGCCGACCAATTCGTGCTACAACTATAATATAGTTGCAACGTGGCTCTACCACGTAAAAATCTATCTATTATCTTAATACCATACCGTTCATCAGATTACAGTAAAACTTATTCGTCGATATTTTACACCGCCACTACAAGGTTAATGTATGTCTATACATGTGGAATAAGGGATCATTTTATGCGCTGCCATACCGTTCATCAGATTACAGTAAAACTTATTCGTCGATATTTTATACCGCCACTACAAGGTTAATGTATGTCTATACATGTGGAATAAGGGATCATTTTATGCGCTGCCATACCGTTCATCAGATTACAGTAAAACTTATTCGTCGATATTTTACACCGCCACTACAAGGTTAATGTATGTCTATACATGTGGAATAAGGGATCATTTTATGCGCTGCCATACCGTTCATCAGATTACAGTAAAACTTATTCGTCGATATTTTATACAGCCACTACAAGGTTAATGTATGTCTATACATGTGGAATAAGGGATCATTTTATGCGCTGCCATACCGTTCATCAGATTACAGTAAAACTTATTCGTCGATATTTTACACCGCCACTACAAGGTTAATGTATGTCTATACATGTGGAATAAGGGATCATTTTATGCACTGCCATACCGTTCATCAGATTACAGTAAAACTTATTCGTCGATATTTTACACCGCCACTACAAGGTTAATGTATGTCTATACATGTGGAATAAGGGATCATTTTTTCATCGTTGCTATCTTAAAATTGCGCCCATGATTTGCTTTATTTCTTTTTTTTTAATTATTTTAAAGACTTCTACTAAATCTAGATTCCATTGAATCTGGCATTATTTGTAATGCTAGACCTAAAATAAAGGTTTTTCGATCGCCGAAATTACATATTGAAACTTACTTTATAATTACAACAAAGTATGCAGAAAAATTGAAAATATCTTTAAGTAGAGTTTTATTTTTATAGAATAACTAGCTTGTCAAAAAAGTTATAAAAATAATAATAACGCAATTCGTACCTGCCAGTCAGAACTCTGATTTGATAGCAGCTATGCTCAAAATCCACATCGTTGTCCAAATTCCTCTCTCGACTCAACACCTCAACGCTCTCGTAAATATTAGGAGTTTTCGATGGCTTTTTCTCGCACGTTACATATATCTCTGGTAGTTTATCGTAGAACTCTTCGTTCAATATCGGTTTCCCTTTGACGTTCATTACAATTTGAGCTTCCTTCAATGGTGAGAGTATAGAACCATGGGTAAGGACCCATCTATTGGAGAACTTGATGCCCGATGCTGCTACAGTCAAAATATTAGCATGCTCCTCGTCTTCACAGTAATTGTAGGATACCATAACCCCTTCGACAGCCATGTTTGTTACTGTAAAAGAAATACAAGAAAATAAAATATAATAAAATTGTTTGTTTAGGACTATTAAATAAAATGATGTATAAAATTATTCATCATCATCACTACAGCTCTTCTCAAAGCCACTGCTAAGCATAAGCCCAAGGAATGCCACAAAGCACGATTCTGAGCCACCTGCACCCTTCGACAACCTGCATGTCTAACCAGGTCTTCACTCCATGTAACGTGGGATCGCCCTACCCTTCGCTTACCGCTGATGAGGTGGCCACTCGGGCACCTTTCTTCTCCGTGGGTTGTCGGCTCTTCGAGCTATAAGGCCGGCCATGGCTACTTCAACTATGGCAAAAGCCCCTATGAGGCAATTTATGGGAGCTAATGGATTAAATAAAATAAGAAAAAAAGTAAGACAAGAACAGGAAATCCTATTCTATTGTGCAGAGAGCCACCAATGAAGGTAGTGAGATTCTATGATCACTCTTCACACAATACACTTCAATTTTTATCCCTTTTGGCCCCACTGTGTTTTTTACGTGGTAGAGCCACGCTACAACGATATTATAGTTGCAGCACGAACGAGTCGGCTGCAACGGGGCAGGTCCACGTTCTCACAGAATACTAGCGTAAAATAGCAGCGTAATGCTGCTGTGTTTCGTATAGTAAGTGTGCAGAACCGGTGACCCTTTTTACTGGAATCAAGGCAATCTTAGTTCTCAGGGGTGACAACGCATTTGCATTTGGATCCTTAGTTGAAGATAAATATGAATGTCTATGGGACACAGCATTCACTTACCATCAGTTGGACTGTGTGTTCGTTTGTCACCCAATGCTATAAAAAAGCCATATGATGAGGAACGAAGAGCAAAACCGCAAAAGAACAAGAGTAACTGACTAAACCCGGCCGTCCGTTCCCGTCCTACTAGATCAAGTCGCAAAGTGACAATGGGCCGGTTATATAACTCAAAGAACGGATAACTGATGCGAAAGAAAGGTTCCCGAGTAGGAGCCGCGTGTACTGGTAAGCATATTGGGAGATACCATGCTAGATGGAGTGTCTTCATAGGGTTTCTAGATGACAGGAATTTTCCTGAGATGTCCGGAATTTTTGACCTCTGTCAGGGAAATTTTTAAATTGTCAGGAAATTTTAAACAGAACGAGAAAATATTATAAGAAATATTAATTAAAATCCTTATTAAACAGTTTTATCACAAAATATAATGATGAATGAATCAAATCTAAATAATTATATTGTTCCATTCATTGCGCACATGTCAAGCATATGCGCGAGTTTTTACAATAGATATTTTTGGTGCCTCCGCATCATTATCAGGAAATTTATGGAAATGTCAAGGATTTTGCCAGGAAAACTCATTGTCGGAACAGATAACCCTGTGTCTTCATGAAAGATACAGGAAGGTAATGGATTCGGGTATATCAGGACACAGGACCGTGCTTTATGGCAATCGATAGGCCTATGTTCAGGTGGACTTGTGAAAGACAGTAATGATCATGATGATTTATTTTTAAATACTTATACATTTACCACGTATAATTTATGTTAATATAATCCCAGACCATAAGCCTATAAATTTCAAATGTTAGGTATAATATGGTGTGTCTATTGCCAACATTATAATCAAACCTTTCATGTATAACATCACCCCTACGCCGCTTTCAGAATTTATTTCTAATACGATTAATTTGATAACCACAGCGTACATTGCGTTGTAGACATACAATTCATTTATCGTTTTCTAGCAAACGCGTCAATATATCCACGTATCACGTATCACGTCACGAAAACTATGGTACGAATTAAAGATGTCACAATGTGAGGGTGCGAATTGTATTACAAATTTGCGCAACATAAACACACCCTTTGGAATGAAAGTAATGAAGCACATTCAGCGGGTGGCCGATGGCGGACTGCAATTTGTTCTAGTATAAAAAGCCCAACATGAGTAGATCCCACGAAAGTCCTCTACCGACGTTCCACGACAACGTTCCCGCCGTTTCCTTCCACTTACTTGTATTCCTTCGCGTGCATCTATCAAGGTAAGATTTTTTTTATAACATTTAACGTTTACTATTACTGATTATTAATATGCGATGAATCGAACGATGTGTTACTACCGCTCGCTTAGCACAGGTGTTTTTTATAATATATTTATATTAAAATTAGGTAATAATGTTTCAACAATATATCTGATTGCAATGATAATTTTATAGCAATTATCATACGTTTCCGTAGTGTAGCGGTTATCACGTGTGCTTCACACGCACAAGGTCCCCGGTTCGATCCCGGGCGGAAACAAATTTTTTATATTTTAAATAAAATTTTTTTTAAATTTACTATTTACCTTTTTACATAACGCTATAATTTTTGAACATTTATATAAATTTTAATATTAAATAAAAACTAGATTAAAGAAATATTATAAATAAAAAATTCTTTAATGTAAATTATCGTTTATATTGCTTTTTAAGATAATATATCGACATAACTTTTCTGTTTTATCTATAACAGGCACTTAAAACAGTTTGTATTTCAATAAAATGGCTCGTACGGTCCTCTAATTTTTGGTTATTTTAACTCATTCTGGGCCGGTTACTCTTGATAAAATCGTTTCTTTTTAATCTTTAACAAAACAAAATGTAGGTCGTTTTTTAAATAATTTTATTTTTAATAAAAAAAATATTCCTTCGAGCCGGATTTGAACCAGCGACCTATGGATAACTTCGAATTTCAATACCTCTACAGTCCACCGCTCTACCAACTGAGCTATCGAAGGTTGGGAATACGATGCCAAAATATGTAGCAAATTATATTTAGATATAATACGAGACTACCAGTATAATGTTTTACCTACATTTTGTATCTGAATGTGTAACATTCAGAAATGTAAAAAAATATGTATGAATCGGTCTTATTCTAGAATGTAGAGATAACCTCGAGCTTAAATTCATACGCTAAAACGTCAAAATTTATAATAGACTATGAGAGAGAGAGAATATAACTACTTTCTATTGAGAACTCTTACAATTTCAATTAAAAATTTCACATTATGGAGTTGGCGTTTAAACTCTTGATTGTTTTCGAATACCGTCCTTAAATATGCTAAGATCTTTTGAAAATATTTAATAAGCTTAATCTTATCTTAGGTAAATAAAAGCCGATGTGGAAAATCATAGAATTCGTGTTTCCATGTTTTACCAATGACAAAAATTGAATTAAATTAGCATTTTATGATAAAATAAGACGTAATACTATTGTTATATTTATAATATTATGCTGTTAACTCGAAAAATATTGACATTAAACAAAGATTTAAAAGAAATAAAATAAATTCCGTCATACGCGTGTCACCCTTATTTTATAAAAAAACGAGTAGAATAATTCGCCGGTGTCTGTTTTCCTAGACAATCTATATAACTATCTATATATATAATAAATCTAGACGTTTTCAAGGCTTTTGTTATGCTAAGAGAGTGCGGTTAAGAGAAAATAGCAAACAATCTTTGTCAATAATTAGAAACACTTAGAAAAGTTTACTTAAAAAAATTAACTACGCTACACAATACTAAGATCGCCTAAAATATTTTGTATAATGTCAACTGACATAATGGCGTCGATGAAGGAGCAAATTTTTGACCCATTATTATTTGTTTGACTGATGAAAGCTATCGTATCACAGTTGCATCTGAGCAAACAAGGCTGTAATTTTTGAGTTATAAGAAACTCTTATCAAAAAACGACACTTAAACTACACTCACTATAGTTACAATGTCAGAATATAGAGAAACTGATAAACCGATAGACGGAACAAATTAATACAAGATACTATTAGAGTTCATACTCACGTTCATTCACAGGCGAATCCATTTTTTAATCTCTTAATTGGTTTATTGACCCTACCAGATCACTTTTGTTTCAATTCATGTTTTGTTGGTATACAATTGACGGTTTATTTTTCTGAGTTATTGTTTTGACTCTGAATATAGATAAGGCAAATTAATAATTTTTTTACTTGGTGGTGAGATTACTTGTCTGCCTAGAAGTCTGACCCTCTTACATATTTCTACCGCTAAAATAGCAGTGATTGCATTGCTATGTTTAAGTCTGAAGGGTTTACGGAACCAGCATCTCCAATTTAAGGCCGTGAGGCATTTCATCTTAGGCTTCAGGGGGCAACTGTCGCCTTTTGTCACTTCAGTTTAAAAAAAAAGACTATTTTCTTACATAAAATAACAAGCAGTATCAGGCGATCTTCTAACAACCAAGTACCTAATTATGGAAATCCATATCAATGTTAACATAAACTCATACGTCTATCACCCAGAAAGGGTAGCGTAGGAGAGAGGCAGAGATTTCACACCTCTTTCCGTTAGTTGCCCGTTAAGAGGATTGTGAAGTGCCGATTTGCGACGCAAGTAGGTATTTTTAAAAATGCTATAGATATGTTTCACATCGCTCGCTCCGTATCGCCGTCGTGCGAAAAGAGAGTGTTGCAAATGTTGGAATTACCTACATATTATGTAAAGTAAAGTAAAGTAAAGTTACAGCCTATATACGTCCCACTGCTGGGCACAGGCCTCCCCTCATTTCTGAGAGGGTATTAGGGCAAGAAAATGTCCGCCGCGCTGCCCCAATGCGTGTTGGCGAACTTCACAACATGTCTTCGAAATGTTTTTTTCTTTTTCCTCAGACATGCAGGTTTCCTCACGATGTTTTCCTTAACCGCCGAGCACGTGGTAAATCAGCACTTAAAATTGCAATTAACAATTTCATTGGTGCCGGCGGGGATCGAACCCGGGTTACTCGCGTTCTGTTATACTTACAGCGAGCGTTAACCATCTGAGCTACCACGGCTCGTATACTATGTATTCTTTTTAAAATATTGTTTCTAGCGATAACGTTTTCATCCCCACCCCCCAAACCTTTATGGAATGAGACAATTTTGGTCTCATTAGATTCAATACACCTTAATTTTGGTTTGTACGTTTTT